ATTATAATGGTGTAACTTGTTAAAATAAAAATGTATTTTTTAAACATGTTTTAATTGATATACGATTATGTATGTTAATTTGATAAATGTTTAAAATGAAACATTTAAAAGTAAAAGACGTAAAGTAAATTAATTAATTAATTATAGGGGTATAAAGTGTAAATTTAAAATTATAATTTTAAAAAAATCGGTTGTGAGGGGGTGATTGTATGTAAGGGGGTGAGTGTATGTGAGGAGAGGATGAGGTGAAAAAGTGAGTATAAAGGGTATTTTGGTCATTTAGTATTTTAAGACTTTAAAGCTTCTGCTAAATTTGCTTAATAAGATAGTATATATATATATATATATATATATATAGTGTATATTGATATATAATATGAATCATGAATGTATATCTATCAAACATACACTATAAATACGCATACACTATATATACATATAGATGACTTTTTTTTGGAATGACAAATTTTTAAAAAAGGCGACTATCGCTGGCTAGGAATACAAACTCGAGGCAAAGACAACTCTCGAGTTAGAGCTCTATGTCTAATCCAACGAAAAACAACGGATCGAATCTCATTAGCAAGCCCCCGCCATACATACATATAGATGACTATATATAAACTATACATACATACGCACTATATATCCAATATATACCCTATCGAATTTATGAATTCATACACTATACAAAACGACCCAACAAAATATAAATACATATACATTATACAACATACATTATGTATCATTTACGGACGGATGTGAAAAGTTCAGAATGAATTAAAAGGCGGTCGCTGATCCATTAGTAATGTAAAACATATACGGACAGTCTTAATAATAAATCAAAATTTAAATAATTAAAACCATTACCGATGGCTTTGAGATCTATCACTAATATGTAGCTAGCTTAAATTATCCGTCACCAAATTGTCAACGTATTTGTGACGGATGTTTTGTTTTCTCTAATCTCTCGCTAATATGATGATACTTCATCGTTAATTTAAAGTTTTTAGAATTACCGACATCACTTATCCGTCGGTAACTTACATCATCGAAAAGTCTCCTTCATTTTAGGGAAATAAATATAATTACACATAAATAAACTTGGGGCGATATCTTCTCATCAGAAGACGTAAAATTTGTTCGGACCATACAAAGAGGTTTGTTTGCTTAGACTTCGTAAACTTGTCCTCTCTAGGCCGCCATATATATTCCACATTAATCTGAGTACCATTTTCGCAATTTCGCCCCTAGCACAACTTGATACAAGATCGCTTTTCATTCATTGAAACAGCTCTTATAACTCACGTGATGTAGAAGTATTTAGGCAATGAGCCATGACAAGTATAGTTGTGCTAGTTACTGTAGATAGAAGTTTAGAATCATCAACCAAGCTTATCCAATCTCCATGAGCTTTTAGCTTTCTTAAGATCGTGATTGAGGACATCCAATATACAAAAAATGGTAGGGAACATTGTCAAATCACAAATGTGACGCTCCTTAACCTCATAGTTCACCTACTGCACCTATACGTGTATATCCCTAAAAGAGAATAGAAGACAAACTAAGGGGAATAATTGAACAAAATTCCTGAGGATTGTTGCTCCCAAAAGTATCAGGAAGCATGCAATCGTGCTGTGAGTTCCACAAATGCATCTTCATGGCAGCAAATGGTTAGTCCTCCCATTGGATGATCAAAGCCAAGTTCTTCCTCCGCGTGACGCAGCAAGTCCTGGAACAATGGTTGGTCCAAATAAGATATGGGAACCACAAATCGCCGTTTCTGGATTTCACCCACATACACTGCTAGATGACCTTTCGGGACATCCGATTGATACTTTCTGCTCCGAAGAGAGTTTACTTTGCTAAAACATCGTGCATTAGCAATCAGTGATGGCAACCGGACAAGTCCCATGTCTAGGAATCCTGGAGTAGTAGAAAGAAGTGAATAGAATACTATCACAAACTCGTTTTCCTGTGGTTAAATTGGATGGGAAAATTCTACTTATTATAGGGTTTGAAGATGGCTTTATAGCATTCTAGCCAACTGGCTTGGAGAAAGTTGTGAAGCCTCACATGGCCAGCTTTCTAAAGAATATCCGAATTTCCACGCTTCCTACTTCATAAACGAATTCAGAAAACTTCACAGAAACGTGCAACATACTCTATGATTGATTTCCATTACATTAAAATAGTATTAGATGTAAAGAGATGTGTAGAACAAAATCGGGTATTTGAGCTATATTCTACCAATATCCATATCAGTAACTTGACAGCATATTATGATCTTGAAATGGGCAAGATAATTTCTTAATTGTTCACATGTATATCACTAAATTACATAAATAATAACATTTCTGTTTATTGGGTTTTGTAGTTCTAAAAGAAAATTATATTTGTAGAAGGAGATCGTAGCAGACTATCGAGTATCAGAGTCCAGTTGTCAGGATCATTTAAAAATTATCCAGCAGTCAGAGAACCTCACATGCTAGGATTATGGAGTTGCTGAATAAGCTATAGGCACGATATTTGAGGGCTTATTCATATAACTTCCATTCATCCATTTGACTTCATGTTGATGAGATCCAAATGAACTTTTATCATCCCGAAAAAGATGGACATAATAAGTTTAGAGAGGAGTCAACTCTTTAACTCATTAGCATGAATCAGGGGGTGGATTCAAGGGGTGATCGGAGCCCGTGCAACACTAAATTTTTCTGACGTAGTGTTTTTTCTTTAGGCTACAATTTTGTTTCATTAAGTTGTATGTTATGGCATAACCACAAAAAATAACCTCATGCCACTTGCATGCACTACTAAAAAATGGGGTTTTTCTGATGGCAAAATCCGTCGGAAAAAAAATCCGTCGGACAAAAACATTTTTTCTGACGGATTGGCCGGCTAAAAAAACCTTACTGCTACATGCAATTTCCGGCGGATTTTCTGATGGATTTATACTTTCCGGCGGATATGGTTGCCAGAAATCCAACGGAATTGTTTTTTTTGATATTTTTTAATTTTTCCAAGCTAATTATCGGTTTTAGTAATTGTGATTAGTGTTACCGACGGAATTTCCGTCAATAAATTTATTAATTTTTTTTACTTTTATTCAAAATAAGAACCGTTTTTATTTTTTATAATAATTATACCCATATTCACGGTATGATCAGCTTTGACCTTCTCGTCCTGCCCATTACGATTCATACCTATGTGTAACAGCCCAAATATGTGCCCATACAAAGCCCCTATAAAATACCCCACGTTTTCAAATTAACCAATTCCAACCATCCCAATAGTTTTGTTTTGCTACTTTCAGATAAAATCCAATTAGGATTGAGACCTTTTCTCCTGTATCCGACTTAATTAACAATTTAACATCACAGAAAAATAGAAGAATCGAAATACACGAGAATCACTTTATCGCTGTTCATCTTCTTTCTTCAATCTTTGGTTGATTATCCTAATACTACATACACGAGAATCACTTGATCTTATTGATTTTGCAAATATATCAATATATACACATTTCAATGTGGGAGAAAGTTAATTGGATTGAAAACAAGAAAACCAATCTATGTTCTTTCAATATATATATATATATATATATATATATGTGTGTGTGTGTGTGTATAAGTTCATAAGCCTATACATGATTGCTCCAAATGGAAATGCACCTCTCTTGAAAGTATTGGAATAGGATGCTATGATTCTCTGAACTGGTGAGGAATCATCTCCACATTTCCCAGAAACTTTGGAGAATAATTATGCTTCTTCATAACTATAGCATATTGTAACAGGAAATTGGCAATTTAGAAGTGAGATCTGCAAAGGCGTCTTCTTGGCAATGAATAGTTAGGCCTCCCATAGAATGGTTGTACCCAAACTCATCTTCAGTTTGGCGTAACAAATCTTGAAACTGCGGATGTGTCAAGAAGGATACTGGAACCACAAATCTTGTCTTCTGCTTTTCTCCAACATAGATGGCCAAATACCCTTTTGGTACATCCCACTGGTTTCGGTTGCAAAGTGATTGCAATTTGCTAAAATGTTTCAGAACAAATTGTAAGTGTATGAAATTGAAGACTAGAACTTGTATATTATTCTAAGGTCCAATTATTCAATTCCACGAGTTGATCTCAATTACATACAATGTCATGTTGATTCCTATATCAAAAAACTTGTGGAGGGAAGGAATTCTAGAGCTTATTATGTAATTGAAAATGGGAACTTCACATGGTTGGCTATTAGTATATCTCTATAATTTTTATATCATGGATGATTGTACTTTGTATGAGATGGGGCCACTTTAACCAAACTCCGACCTTTTAGTGAATTCCAGAATGAAATTAAAATAAAAACAAATAAGACTTCGTGGTTGTTTGATAGTTACTGAATGATTTGGTACAAAATGATTAAGTGGTCAGAATGATTAAGAGACTCATAATATAATGCAAAATAAAATATAATTGTTTTGTAATTGTTTACAATGAAATTAGGGTGTTGAATGGTTAAAGGATGCCTACGATACAAAATCATTCATAGAGTTTTAGAATCATTAAGAGACAGACTTTTTTTTGGTAAACAAGATCCACCTCTTAACGATTCAGATGTTGTCTCTTAATGGATCTATTAATAGGTAAACAAACAACCTCTTCGTTTATTTCGGTTCACATGCTAATACGGTAATGGGTATAGATGAAATTCAGAATACAGGACCAACTTGCAGAATAGAATATAATACCAACTTGCAGAAAAGAATATAATACCAGTTTGTAGAAAATCTTGACGAATCTAGATGATTTGAAACCAAAATTAAGCCAACTTATCATTTAATCATTTGAATATATCTAGCTTTTGATGTCTAAGCCTTGATGGAGTTACTAATGTATTTGAACTGAGCATAGATAGAAACACTACCAAACATGGCAACATTTCTGGCGGCTATTTCTGCCAGAAATCCGCCGGAAAACAGACTTTCCGGCGGATAGGACAGCTGAAAAAAGAAGAGACGCCCGTGATTAATTTTCCTGCGGATTTACCCGTCGATTTTTTTTCCCGGCAGGAAATTTCCCCCCTATTTATTTAAAAAAAATCTTGATTAAATTAAGAAAATATTAACGAGTTTTTGAATTTTTTTTAATTAAATTACCGGCAGATATATTTGCAACAACCCACCAAGTACTAACAATTAAAATACATGCTATAGCATACGTTCCAATATTTACAAACATTTCAGTCTTGTTTACATATTAGAACAAAAAGTCTGAACTTAAAAATTCATCATAACAAAAACTTTCTTCAACGATTCAGTTACATCTTCCGTTTGCTTTTATCCTTCAATATTTGGATGACCTACAAAATAAATTATCACAACAACTGAGGGCTAGAGCGGAAGGTCTAGTAGGTGAATTCCCTCCTGTAATTAAAAACCTACCATTATACTTTAATAAAGTTCAAACTAGATTTTTAATGATATACTTATCCAATATCCATTGTGGTTACACTGCCCTCAATCGCGGTTACATCGCCATCTATCATCATAAGCAAGTTTATTGGTTAAAATTCGAACCCCTTGATCTGATAACACATTGAGCTATACTGAGCGATAAACATTCTCATCTAAATACTACCTTGAGCAGTGAATACCCTTATCCGAACAACATTGTGATCGATGAGGACCCATATCTGGACAACACTATGAGCGATGAGGACCCATATCCGGACAACACTGTAATCGATGAGGACTCCAATTTGGACAACACTATGAGCGATGGGGACCCATATCCGGATAACACTTTGAGCGATGAAGGTCCAATCCGAACAACACTTTGAGCAATGAAAGACCCATATCTGAACAACACTTTAAGCGATGAAGGTCCAATCTAATCAACACTATGAGCGATGAAAATCCAATTCGGACAACACTATAAGCGATGAAGGTCCAATCCGGACAACAATATAAGCAATGAGGATCCAATCCGGACAACACTATGAGCGATGAGGATGCAACCCAGACAACACTATAAGCGATAAAGAGACCTTATCGGACATGGCTTTGTGCGATGAAAATTACTAACAGACTTGGTACAATGCTAGTTTGATACCAATACACCATCTAATATCATGAATTAGGTAATTTACATGAAACATAATAACTCATATTTATCAAGACTTTGTAGAAACTCACCTTTGTTTGAGACCTCAATGAATGCTCTGCTTTCTTCCCTTTGATAAACAAGTTTCCTAAAGTTTTTCACCTGAACCAGAATCCAAACCCTTTTCAGTACCATACTACTACTATATATAGTAAGTTTGGTATTTACCATACGAATTACCTTCACTCTCAAAACCTTATTGGACCAAAATCCAAATAACGCAAGGAGGTGACCAATATTTTACTATTGGTCCCTTATTTTCCAATAAATGTCAGATCTTACCCCTAAACTTTCCATAGCTATATAAATTCGTAACCCGACCAACTATAACTTAAAACCGAAGATTACAATATCTGTAGGAAATCCGTTAGAATAAAATCACAAATTTTATTTTATTTTTAAAATAATCACTTTTATTCTTTAAATATTTCCGGCGGATATATCCGTCGATTATCCGCCTGAAATATATTTTATATTTTTTCTAAAATTATTATTTTTAAAATAATTAATTTTTATTCTATAAATATTTCCAGATGGTTTATCCGTCGGAAAATTATTTCATATTTATTTTAAAATAATTAGTTTTAAAATAATTTTCCAATAAATATTAAAAACTTGTAAATCTGTAAATATTAAAAAAAGCTAAAAAGATCAAATGTCGCTATCTATACTATATTATAAAGCATTTGGCTAAAACTCTTAAAAACTCTTAAAACTCTTAAAAACTCTTAAACACGTTCGTCCTTAAACGATTTCATCCCTATCCGATTTAATCCCATATTTG